GGGATAGACAAACAGGATAAGGGGATTAGCAACCTTGGGAACACATTTTTCAAACAAGAAAAAAGAAGCAAAGGCAAAGCGGGGGGAGATTAGAAGCAAAAAGGAAAGCCAGAGAGGATGTATGTATGGGAAAGGAAAAGGACATGTACATACAGTATACTCACAGATGAATGAGAGGGTGACCGTAGAAGTGATGAAAAATCAAGTCAAAAAACAAAAATCAAAAGCAACCTGAAAGTGTGAGCCTGAGTTTGGAGAAAAGTCCAGTTTCTAATCTTTGTGGAGTTTTGTTTTGTCTCCTTTTTCCCGCGATTTTGCCCATTTCTATTCAGCCATCCCTCCTTCTTAAGTCTATCCCCTACTGGTCCCCTTTCTCCTCTGTCCCCCCCTCCCCCCCTCCCCTTTCCTTGCCAGTGCCGGTACTCTTTCTCCTACTCTCTGTCTTTCTCCCGCAAACCACGTTCTCCATTTTCCCTTCATTCTTCGTCTCTGTCCCCTTCATCTGTCCATTCATCGGACACTCTTTTCCTTTTCTTCAACCCTCCGCTTGAATATAGTTATGATTTTAAAAAATATTTCTACACAGATGTCGAGTTTTGAGTTAAAAACAAAAATACTGCTGAAGAATAGAAAAAAAAATGTTTACAGGAAAGGACAAGCGGTTTGTGGCATGCAGTCTAACGCAGGGACAATCCATGGCCTGCCTTTTTCAGGGGCACCACACATAGTAGGGGTGAAGCGCCTGTGTGGTGGTGCCTCCGTACATAAGGGCATAACCAAAAGCAAAGAATGGAAAGCAAAAGAAAAAGAAGGAAAAAAAACCAAGCCTGCTGCAGTCGGTCTCCAGTGAAAGTGGATAGCAAGCAAGCGTGAGAGGAAGGAGTGGGAAGGAGTTCGGGGTGTGTGCATGTGAGGTGGGAGGGGAGAGAAAGGACAGCTAGCAAGGAGAGAGAGCAAGAGAAAGACAGAGACCGGGGGTTCATGGAGAAACAACCAAGAGGGAGGGATAGAGGAGGAGTGTGTCGGTGGGGAGAGGAAAGAGGAGGAGGCAGGAATAGGAATACATTTTTTTTGCTTTATACTCACGGTATTTGAATTTTGTGCTCCCCCTCCCCCCATTTCAAGGCTAATACCTTCTCTTTCTGTGAGAAGAAAATAAAGAGGAAGAAAGAAGAGGAGAAAGAGCTACTGTGGGCTTTGTCTCTCGCCCCTGCCGTTCTTTTCCTGGTTTCCTTTCTGCTCCGGCTCTCTTCTATTCAGCCTATTTTCTGCACGTGCACTTGAACTCTAAATCCTGCCTGCTTTCCCCTCCCCTCTCTTTCTCTCTCTCTCTCTCTCTCTCAAACTGCGCATCTGTGTGTGTGTGTCTGCCTCTCGCTTTCTCCTAGGCAGGGGCTTGAAATAGTGCTAGCAGGCAGAACAGAGCGAGCGGGAAGGAAAAGGAGAGGGTGAGGGGGACAAAAAAGGGGAGAGAGATGTTGGGGGGGAGGGGAAGAAGCTTAGACAGGCTAACACAGAAAGCACAGGGCGATGTGTGTGTGCGAATGAACATGTCTGCACATTTGTAAACACGCATTCATTTACCTTGGCTTTGAATGTAGTGTTCCACACACCGTTGGTAATCTGCATATGATGTTAGCCTACATACCAAGAAGAGAAACATGACTTTTGAATAAACAGAACAAACATGAAAACCTTGCTCTTGGTAACTTGTAACTGGTATACATCATTATTTTTACATTTTATACACAAAATTGTTAAGAGCAAAAAAAATCTACAGGGAAAAATATTTGCAGTTCTAGTTTGAATTAACCTCAGCAGAATGTAGGACAGGTAATTCGATACTGTGAACTTGAGAGTTTTTTGAAATTACAGCTGAATTTCAATTCAGTTCACAGGTTTCATGCAGACATTGTTACAGCTAGACAGAGGGTGGAATGAATAGAGCTTTGAGATTATAAATTTACTTTTTTTTACTATTTACATCAAATGTATTGTCAGGGATTAAGGCAAAGAGGTCAGAAAGGAGGAGAACACATGATAAATGAGCTGAAAACATGGTCAGCTTGGTTAGGTAGCTTTATCTACATGCTGTATGTAGACGTAACTACATTTGTGCCAGGAATGAGTCTGTATAAATAAAATACTACAGTTTGCTTTGTTTTCCAAATGCAGCAGTCACCTTGGAAAATAGAGGCATGGACACTTGCCTGAATCTAAAAACATGGCCTAATATACACACACAGAAAAACTGCTGCTAGCTGTAAAAGAAAGAAATTATATTTGCTTCCACAAAATAGGAGTACCATGATCATCACTGATGGCAACTTTTATATTACTTATAAGCTACAAGCACACAAATTCTGCATTTAGAAGACACCCAAACTGGGTACAGGTGTCCTTCTCCAGTGCTTTTTCTCTGATTAAGGCACCATAATTACTGAATATGAGGAAAATGAACTCTGCCTGGCTGCTAAAGAAGAAGCTAAATGGTTATTAACCCTCCACTGGCGCTGTCTCCCTCACTGAGGTGCTGTGTTCCCGCCTGCTGACTGCAGCACACTTCTTGAAAAGCCTTTGGGGTCTGATAAAACAGAGAAATGGGACAGAGATATGTAAAAATGTGCCACAACACTGCCCCCTGCTGGGATTCAGCGGGAATAACCCTCCACCAGCACCATCACACCGAAAGAGCTTGTTTGTAACACTATTTACACATATATGACGCATGCTGCGTATTTAAAATATAAATCGAAAATACTGACGTTAGTATTTCAGTTACCTGGGTTTCATGGCTGAGTCAAGCAGGGATTTCAAGACGTATCATCGTTTCCAAATTCCAAAGCCTCCTCAGCATCCTTCCTTCGTCAAAACTGGGACTAAACTCCAGCACCAACCAGGCCACCTGGTTGTTGTCTTTGCAGGGTATATGAAAAGCAAGGCACTGGTTATTAATGGATATCGTGAGAGCTGTGTGTATAGCTGGCTGTGGATTGTGATAGTAACAGTTAAAGGTACTTTAGCAAGCTAGCTAGTAGCTAATGTTAGCAAAAACGTGAGTTCAAACGCATGCAGCAGCGGGCTGTGCGTTTTGGCTCCATAATGTAACTGTGAAAGTTTTAAAAAATTATCTCTGAGCTTACCTTTGTCTCCAATTTGCCTTTCAGGTGCCCAGTGTCACTGTGATACACTGTCAACCAGCATGAATTTGTCAGGGCCCTGTAAACGTTCTTCAAAAAGTTAGGTAACCTTAAAGCTTAACAAAACGCAACCTTCTGCTGCTGCATGATTGGCTAATATCACCTGTCAATCACACGGGCCGAGAGCTCAAATAACAGCTGACAATACATTGTAATAGTATTTATTTAAAGCTGGAGTTACATATTACGGGAAGACGTCCTTAATGTTTCATTTATTAAAATTACAAGGTTCATTAGAAATCCACAATAAGGCCCACAAACTCAAGTATACCAAAACCCTCACTCCAGGTGTCCTTGTGATATGCTGTACAAACTCAAGTATACCAAAACCCTCACTTCAGGTGTCCTTGTGATTCCACACAAGCAGTTCTGTAGTATCAATCAGGCCTTGCGTAAGTTCCAAAAAGGCTACAGTATACAATATATGGTAAAATCGCATGCACACAGTCCTCTTGCTGCTGTGTGCATTATCTATATTGACCACACAAGAGCATACAAGTCTTCAGAGAAAAGTGT